ATTTCTGAGCATAGTTTGATAGTTGCCTTGCCAGGATCTTGTCTCAATGTTGGAATGACATTGCCCAATACCATAGATTATTGTTGGTACACTAAAATATTTTAAACACAACCATGCTTAAGAACATCCAATTAACGTGGACAACATTCTGGTCCCTTTATTCATTATACATCCTGTTGGCATAATTTTTTTTTTAAACAAGGGCTGATTTTTCAGTCCCTTTTAATACATGTTAACGCAGTTTTACCGCATTTTCTCACCAAACATTCTTTTCCAGTTTTTACTTACATAGTATTTTGTTAATTATTTTTTGTGATTTGGCTAAAGGTTGCTAAATAGTGCCTTTTTATCTGTTTTATACTGTCTCTTAAATTCTGCACACATGTGCCATTTTGGATTGTAGGTTATTTCACGATCCAGTTAAATTGTTGTACCGGTGAACAAGGTTTCTGGGATTGGCTCCTGTTCAGTTCCATCTGAAAAGTGGCCCTAATTCAAGCAGCAATTCCAATGGAGGGAAATTAACATAAATTGTGCATCAAATATTTATGAAATACTATATCTACTAACATCAGCGTAGTTTTGAAAAACAAAAAGTTGTATGTTTTAAAATACTGTAAACTTTCAGTGTACAGTCAATCATTCAGCACAGTGTACAGTCAATCATTCAGCTCTGTGTACAGTCAATCATTCAGCACTGTGTACAGTCAATCAGTCAGCACTGTGTACAGTCAATCATTCAGCACAGTGTACAGTCAATCATTCAGCACAGTGTACAGTCAATCATTCAGCACTGTGTACAGTCATTAATAAGCACTATGTACAGTCAATCATAAGCACTATGTACAGTCAATCATAAGCACAGTGTACAGTCAATCATAAGCACAGTGTACAGTCAATCATAAGCACAGTGTTCAGTTAATCATAAGCACAGTGTTCAGTCAATCATAAGCACAGTGTACAGTCAATCATAAGCAGTGTACAGTCAATCATTCAGCACTGTGTACAGTCAATCATTCAGCACTGTGTACAGTCAATCATAAGCATAGTGTACAGTCAATAATTTAGCACAGTGTAAGTCAGTCATTCAGCACTGTGTACAGTCAATCATTCAGCACTGTGTACAGTCAATCATTCAGCACTGTGTACAGTCAATCATAAGCACAGTGTACAGTCAATCATAAGCACAGTGTACAGTCAATCATAAGCACAGTGTACAGTCAATCATTCAGCACTGTGTACAGTCAATCATAAGCACTGTGTACAGTCAATCATAAGCACTGTGTACAGTCAATCATAAGCACTGTGTACAGTCAATCATTCAGCACTGTGTACAGTCAATCATTCAGCACTGTCTACAGTCAATCATAAGCATAGTGTACAGTCAATCATTCAGCACAGTGTACAGTCAATCATTCAGCACTGTGTACAGTCAATCATTCAGCACTGTGTACAGTCAATCATAAGCACAGTGTACATTCAATCATAAGCACAGTGTACAATCTATCATAAGTACAGTGTACAGTCAATCATTCAGCACTGTGTACAGTCAATCATAAGCACTGTGTACAGTTAATCATAAGCACAGTGTGCAGTCAATCATAAGCACATTGTACAGTCAATCATTCAGCACTGTGTACAGTCAATCATAAGCACAGTGTGCAGTCAATCATTCAGCACTGTGTACAATCAATCATAAGCACAGTGTACAGTCAATCATAAGCACAGTGTACAGTCAATCATAAGCACAGTGTTCAGTTAATCATAAGCACAGTGTACAGTCAATCATAAGCAGTGTACAGTCAATCATAAGCAGTGTACAGTCAATCATTCAGCACTGTGTACAGTCAATCATTCAGCACTGTGTACAGTCAATCATAAGCATAGTGTACAGTCAATAATTTAGCACAGTGTACAGTCAGTCATTCAGCACTGTGTACAGTCAATCATTCAGCACTGTGTACAGTCAATCATTCAGCACTGTGTACAGTCAATCATAAGCACAGTGTACAGTCAATCATTCAGCACTGTGTACAGTCAATCATAAGCACTGTGTACAGTCAATCATAAGCACAGTGTACAGTCAATCATAAGCACAGTGTACAGTCAATCATTCAGCACTGTGTACAGTCAATCATAAACACTGTGTACAGTCAATCATAAGCACTGTGTACAGTCAATCATTCAGCACTGTGAACAGTCAATCATTCAGCACTGTCTACAGTCAATCATAAGCATAGTGTACAGTTAATCATTCAGCACAGTGTACAGTCAATCATTCAGCACTGTGTACAGTCAATCATTCAGCACTGTGTACAGTCAATCATTCAGCACTGTGTACAGTCAATCATAAGCACAGTGTACATTCAATCATAAGCACAGTGTACAATCTATCATAAGTACAGTGTACAGTCAATCGTTCAGCACTGTGTACAGTCAATCATAAGCACATTGTACAGTCAATTATTCAGCACTGTGTACAGTCAATCATAAGCACAGTGTACAGTCAATCATAAGCAATGTCAGCATACAAAACACATTGCACCTTGATCTAAACTACAGATCAGTCGTAGTTTGGATAGTGTGTAGTGGATACACAGGTATTTAATATGTTTGTTTTTTTCCTAGTGTAGGAAAGCATAGGTGAAGCAGCTGAGCCTGTTGGAATTTCTGTTCATTTGTGACATGTTTTATTTATTTATTCATGACATTTCTTTATCTCATTTTTCTCTTCTCCTTTAGTCCCCCCCCCCCCCCCTTCCCCCTTCCTTTTTATCTCAGTCAGTAGGTTCCAGGGCCCCATTTTTTTTAAGAAAAAAAAAAGAAGAAAAAAAAGAAAATACCCCCTCCACCACTCTTGATGACTGATTTAAGAACCGACAACATAGATCACTTGGGTCATACAAATAGATGCTCCGTCTCTAGCAGCAAATGACATGTATAGATGCTAACTGTTCTCATAGCACAATGATTATACACACGTCGTTGTCTTCCTCTCACCCGTTCCTCCTTGCCGGATCCAAACTTAATTCCTCTTCCACATATTCTTGCACAATTCCTCTTCCACATATTCTTGCACAATTCCTCTTCCACACATTCTTGCACATCTTATTTCACCTAATCTCATGTCTAAAATTGGTAAATACATGCAGTACAGGAAACCACTGTGGTGTAGCAGCTAGACGGTCACCTGCCAGTGCGAAGGCTCGGGTTCAAGTCCTGAAAGCACTGGACTTCAAAAACAAATAATGTCCTGGCTCCCAAGGTGACTCAGTAAAGTCCAGTAAAAAAAAAGGCAGCCACCCTGTTAACCACATCACCAACCAAGTGCCAATTTTTCTATCAACTATTGGTCTAGCCCAATATACCCAAAAACACATGAAAGCATTAAAAAAGGGGGTTCTTAAAGGCGGTATGGACAGTTTTCAGTATGATTATGTTGATTAAAAAATTGTGAGCAGTTCATTGCTTGGGATGTATGAGTATAAAATAGATCAAATTTAAAAAGAAAAGATATGTACATAAATGATATTGCTGGAAAAAGAAAAGAAAAATGCATAGTCGGATGAAAACAACGGCCAGTTGTGTGTACATACATACAAATATAAGGGAATGATTTTAGAAATATGACAAGATAGTTTAATTATTCTCTGATAATTCAAATTTTGAATGTTTCTTGCTACAGATATTATTTGTTAGTGACATTCTTTCAGTCCATTTCTGTCCTCTTCTCCTGTAGTCTTCACTGTGTCCATCTCTCTCTCCTTTTTACTTTTACTTTCTCTCTCTCTCTCTCTCTCTCTCTCTCTCTCTCTCTCTCTCTCTCTCTCTCTCTCTCTCTCTCTCTCTCTCTCTCTCTTCCTCTATGAGTATCCTACCTCAGTCAGTTTCCTGTCCCTCTCTTTCACTATTTATTTTTCTATTCATTTATCCTTCCACCTATGCAATCATCAGTCAATCCATTTAACTATCTATTTATCTATTTTTTCCTGTCTACGTGTCTAGTAATATGTCAGTTTATTCACCTCTTCATTTGTTTATTCATTTATGTGTCTGTCTATCCATCTTCACATCTGTCAGTCCATCTTCACGCCTGTCCATCTATCTTTATGTCCATCGATTTGTCCGTTTCTTTTTCTCTATCTCTCTCTTTCTCTCTCTCTTCATATGTTCTCTTTATCCACTTTCAACCAAGAATGATCCATATTTTTATCTTTCTTTTATTGAATTAACAACGAAAAAGAAAAAAAAAAGACATTTCTTTGGCAGTAAAAACCAAACTTTCCAAGAAAAATTAAAAATATTGAGGAAATAAAACACACACAAAGTACTGTTGATATTAGCAAAGATTTAATCTGTAGTAAAGCAAAACATGATGTCTAAACATACATACACTCAAAAATATTTTACATCCCCCCACCCCCAAAGCATTAGAAAAAAAAAACAATGTAATTCTAAAATCGTCATTGTCATAAGTAAAACATCATTTATCATTCAAAGAAAAAATTTTTTTACTTTCACAACCAGAAAGATGCTATATTTGTGGAAGACTGTAAGACACTTGATAATACAATTGGAATATCAGAGAAGTAATGACATGAATCCTTCTGGTCTCATATTGCATGAAATGTTGCATAAATACATCAATGCTTTTCCAAGAAAACAAAATAGCCTTAACTCGGCTACAAAAGAAATATTGCACAAATGCTTTATGTCATTTATCCAATGACAACAAGGCCCCAAATAACCAGAAAAAGTGGTTTTAATTCATCACAGTGCTGTGAGTCCACAGTTGAATTATTGCAGATCTTTCCACTTGCCTAATAGGCTGAAAGCATTCCAACTGAGTGACTGGATTAAAGCATTCCCATCAACCAGTTGGTGGAAATCATTCACAGATTGAATGAATTTCTTCCGAAAATTCTTTTTTAAGGAAGCCTTTTTCAAAATGGTTGATAATAAAGTGTTTACGGATTTTGAGAACAATGGCAGAATGTATGTCACGTGATGATGCTCATTCCCTCTTTGGCAAGAGCAGCCAACTCCAAAATTTTCAGTGCTTCATCATAAGATGGAGGCGGGCCTTCATTCTCATTATCTTGCAAAACCCTCAGAGAGGCGAAAAAATCCTCAATAGAGATATGCATTCCAGGAAGGCGTCTTAGAGTCTCTTGCAATTCTGAGCTGCCGACTCCACCAATATTAGTACTTGGATTTCTGAAAGACCAGGATGAAAATGGTGGAGGTGGAGATCTTGGTGGTGGAGGTGGTGGAGGAGGTGGTGGTGGTGGTGGTGGTGAAGATGAAGAGCTAGTCACATGATTATCACTTAACCCTGCTGAAACCTGAGATGAGTGGTCAGCATTGTCCAGTCCGCCGTTGCTCAATAAAATGTCCACCCTGGTTGAACATACATGTGAAGGAAGTAAACTAACTACAATGTCTGCTACATGAGACCCAGATATGGTGGACAAGGGTGCTTCGGAATACCCCGGGTTTACCCTGGCACCGGCTAGAATCACTTGGTTTGTTAACTCTCTTTGACTACCCAGGATACCCGGAGGATGTCGAACTGCTACGTAAGTTCCGCTAGGCTGGTTGCCAACTGGTAAACTTCTAAGCGTTTCATTCTCCTCTAACAGAGCATCCATGCTGCTGTTTCTAGAATGTACTGGCGGAGCGACTGAATGGTAATTCTGACCAAACACCTGTTCGTAAGAAGGTGGAAGATCTGTGGCAGCATTATCTTCTCCTCCTCCTTCTCTCCGTCTCCGCTCTCTCTGCCTCTCCTCCCGTTTAGCTCGTCTTAGTTGCATGACCAGCACACACACGAGAGGAACAACCACAGAAAGGCCTGCCGCCATAGCAATGAATCCTCCGTTGATATTGACAGTGTCTGGTGTGATTGTATCTGTCTTGGTGGAATCTGCTGGCAAATAAAATAAAACAATTACTATTTAGTTTTTTCTAATTGTCGTAGACAATAAAATTGAAACAACCATTGATGAATTTTCTTTCATCACATTGTGGCATATGAATTGTCAGCATCCCCTAACACTGCGTGTCGATTGGTCACCATTTGCTGTTGACTGATCAGCTCTCTCCACCTTTGACAGTCAGGTGTAAAGGCCAGTCAGTCAAGTTCTGCATTCAGGTCTTTCTTAGTCTACCTCTTCTCCTCTTCCACTCTACCTTCTTCTTCGTTCACCGGCTGTGAATTCCAGCTGAAGGTCCTGGTAGTTCGTCCAACTGGACTTTTCACTTTTTTCTGGATCTGAGTTTTGCGTGTACGTCCGTTTTCCTGATTTATTTGTTTGCCGTTCCCAGGCTCACCAGCAGATGTACTCCGACTTCGAGGGCAGATGTCAAGCCCATCTCTATGATGACTGTGGCCACTGTTTCTACTCTACCAGACCATGTAGTATTGTTTTTTTGAGAGGCCGTTAAATCTTATTACATGCCCAGTAAATTTTTCGTCGATTTACTGTAGTTAAAAGAGGTTCAGAAAAGAGATGTGAATAGATAAAATAAATACCCAAAAGCTAAATTCAATGAAAAAGAGATGAAACGTCTTATTTGCATGGAGTGTGAAGAGTTAGAACTGGAAATTGAATACAGTGACTGTAACTCCTTTGCCTCTCAATAACACAATATCACTATCATCTATCAATCTAGTATCCAAGAAAGGTGGCTGGATATACACACCAAATGCTCTTCCAAAGACTCGCTTCATCGCCTCTCTAGAGAGGGACAGTGTTTTATATTCAGACTAAGGACTGGGCACAACAGACTGCGTCAACATATGTTAAAGTTTTTCGGTGTAAGAAACACAGAGACGAGCCCTGTAGAGTGGCACCCTAAAATGCTGAGCATGTGCTCCAACACTGTTAACTGTATGCTGACTACTGAGGCGTTTTAGCCTGGGGAATAAGGTCCTTTGAGCGCCCCCCCCCCCCCCAACAAATATATTGTTTTTTTAAAAAGGGGTGGGGCGGTGGGGGTTGAGGAGTTTCTGGCAACCCAAGGGACAGGAGATTTGCCTAGCCTCGTACATATGTTCTCTTTCTATTTTTGTGTACATTACATATCACTTCAGATATATTTGTTTGAAATGTATCACATTACTGCTGCTACTGTGGCTAAAGTGCCGGCTGCTACTGCTACAACTACTACTACTGTATAATATATATTCAGTGTCCTTAAAAAATGGGGTGGGGGAGACATTTTAATTATCTTTCTTAAATTTTGGTGAAATTGTACATCCTGCGAAAAGAAAAAATCCAATGCAAAGTAAAGTAAAACTTGTCAGCTTTAAAATAACGCAATCACGAGTGACAACTTCGACGTTACTGCTATAAGTCTTCGTCAGCAATCGAGAACAGTGGGACATTGATGTAAATACGCAGAAATTACATAAAAGTGACTGGGCTGTTTCGTTACTGTTAAGAAATTTTATGTATTTGTTACCCTGGTCTCTGGGTAGTAAGATCAGACGACCGTGTGTATTGTTGCGCACGTAAAAATCCCTTGGCAGTTGGAATTTGAAAAAAGTAGCCTAACGGCGCGTTCCCGGACAGATTTTTGAGTTAATAATCTATCCAAAGTATTTCATGATCCTCGCGAGTGCTGCGTAGTTCGTGCTCTGCGCTGAGATTCTTTAGACTCAAGCTTGAGTAGAACGGGTCATTTATGGGTTATTACCCGTGTTCCGTGCTGTTTATCCGTTGTATAAGCCAAACCATTTTATCTGATTGCGGCGTCCGTGGCTTTAGCGTAATCCAACGTACCGCGATCGAAACCCACTGCTGGTATGCGTGGGTTTTTATCGTAGTATCGGGCGTCGCAGGTCGACCCAGCCTCAAATGGGTACCAGGATGGCTGTCCTGGGGAAGTAAAGACGGCCCACGTAATGCTGACCACATTACCCATCCAGTGCTGATTGGTCTGTAAAAATATGGGACGCTCTGCCCATATACCCAATGCGCCTTAGGCGTAATAAGGGATCTTTACTTACTTAATTTATCTGATGTATCTGTATCGTGACAACTGGTTTTTTTTTAAGCGAAGTGGCCTAGACGTGTGCCTGACACTCAAAGAGACAGAAATGTAGAGTCCGGGAGACAGGGGAGACAAATGAGTAGATTCAAACCTACCAGGACCGTACAACGAGCGACGAACACCCAGTGACACAAAGTGCCACCATTCGGATAAGGATCACCCGGGTGCAAGTTCCAGGAATCCCGTTTAACCGCTAGGGCCCCAGACGACAGCCAGGGTTGGGTCCTAAAATAACTGAAAATTTCGTCCCATATTGGGACGGCGATGATTAAGGGAGAGAAAGAATGGAAAGCTAGAAAAAGGACAGATTTAAACCAGCTAAAATAAATGCGAGAGGAATCGTAAAATATAAAGAAAGAAAGAAAGAAAGAAAGAAAGAAAGAAAAGAAAGAAGAAGAAAGAAAGAGAAAGAAAGAAAGAAAGAAAGAAAGAAAGAAAGAAAGAAAGAAAGAAAGAAAGAAAGAAAGAAGAAGAAAGAAAGAAAGAAAGAAAGAAAGAAAAAGAAGAAAGAAACAAACAAACAAACAAACAAACAAACAAAAACAAAAAAGAAAGAAAGAAAGAGAAAGAAAGAAAGAAAGAAAGAAAGAAAGAAAGAAAAGAAAGAAAGAAAGAAAGAAAGAAAGAAAAAGAAAGAAAGAAAGAAAGAAAGAAAAGAAAAAAGAAAGAAAGAAAAAAGAAAGAAAGAAAGAAAGAAAGAAAGAACGAAAGAAAGAAAGAAAGAAAGAAAGAAAGAAAGAAAGAAAGAAAGAAAGAAAGAAAGAAAGAAAGAAAGAAAGAAAGAAAGAAAGAAAGAAAAAGAAGAAATGAGATCCGAGAGACATACAATACAAACAGATGTGAGGAAGTTGAAAATAGCTAGACAGTTAAGAGAAACAGAGAAATGGAGAGATAGAAAAACATTTATTTTTCCCACTGATAAGAAAGAGAAAAAGAGGCAACCGTAATTGTAACTTAAAGCAATGTTTCCCCGTTGTGAATATGGACAAAGAAGACACACACAATAGACTGCACCATTTATTGTCTGGCATATTTCGCTGTATCTCGTCAGGTGCATACTACAGTAACAATTGATTAAAATGAAGCAAATAAATTAATCCTTTGAGCTAAAACACAAAATCAACTACATTCACACACTGTTTCACCAGGGTAAGAGCAAGAAAACGAGCATTTCCTATTGTATGCATAATTCTGTACTAAACTGGCTGACGGCTGACGCTTCCGCATATCTCAGTAATCTACGGTTGGCCGAAGTGTAAGTAATTCGAAACGCTTCATCGTTGTTTACCATGCGCCCATAATTTAGAAGATGACACGCAATTGCTGATGATGGATTTTTTTCGACCAGCCCCTTGATTCGTTGTTGTTGAGTTGTTAGTGTTCTGCATTGCTTTCACCACCGATAGTGGAATTTGTTCAGCAACCCGTTTTTGCAGTCGTCGATCCGTTCTGTCCACATATGCAGCATTACATGCGCATTAAAACTGCTAAGTACAAATAGATTTGGCGTAGGTCGACACTAGTTCTTTCTCGAAAATTGAAATCCCAAACAACAATCATTCTGAGAAACCGACACCTGCTGAATCATGGTTGTTCAATACTTCCCTTACCTATCTGACAGTGCTTCCGGATTTAAATATTCTAAATATAAGGGGCAGGTAACTCCTACAGGTAAACGAACATCCGGATTTTTATGTGCTAAAGTACGCATGCCGTGATCTCCTATCTTCACCACCACTTTTTGTTTTTGTAAGACAAAACAACAGGGCGGTAGGGAATCTTTAAAAAGTAAACATGTTTTGTGCATGAAGGGAACAATAATTAATGAGAGGAAAATGATTACAGAGTTCAGCATCTGAGAAGAAACACACTAAATATATGTCATGGCAATAATGGTCTGAAATCCCCTGCTCCAGTTATTAAAGGTAAGTTGCACCAGGTTTTATCGCATATGGCTCAAACTCTCTCCGCAGAACAGCTAGCTGCTGGATGAGAGCGTCGCATAGAGCACGATATCCGTAGCTCCGACGACGATCCCCAGGGATCTGCGTAAATATTGCATCGTGAACTGAACGGTGCCGCCTTGAAAATAACTCACGACCTTCAGAGAGCGAGGCAAACGGCCTGACCACTCCGACAGGAAAACACACACACATATATGTATCTATATATATATATATATATATATATATATATATATATATATATATTTATCTATCTATATATATATATATATATAGATATATATATATATATATATATATATATATATATATATATATATATATATATATATATATATATATATATATATATATATATATATATATATATATATATATGTACTGTTATATATATATATATAACATTATGGGGACATCCGACAGCAGTGAAGTTGAAACCGCTACTAAGAAAGACCAAACAACTATTACATAAACTCGCTTGCCATGGCCCGTGTGTTGACATCCTAATGTCCGGTTTCGTCTCGGGGAAAATAGTCTGCCAAAGAAACACTTTTTTTATTGAGAATTTTCTGAGAACTGACATCCCCGTGTGAGTTCCGTGGCTCCAATGTGAAAGAGGGGACATAAATATACTGACCTCCAACGCCCCACCCCCTCCCCCTCCCACCCTCCCCCACTAGGATGCCCTAAAGGTAACTAAAAAGAGAAGTGTGTGACTCGCGGAGTTGCTGTGGCCTAGCGGTTTTGAAGGTCTTGTTCAAATCCATCTCGGGGGTTCTTTTAATAATTTACTTTAGACTCCCATGTGGATCCAAAATGGGTGACATGAAATGCCTTGAGAAGTAAAGAGGGTTAACCCTTAATTAAGTGCTCTAAAATAATTGTAATAATAATAATGTGCTGA